TTGCTAACCCTTATTCTCCCCTGGAGACCCTTTCTCTCCTGGTCAGCAAGTGGCAGAACCACTGTGATACCTCAGCGAGGAGCTACCTGGGGACTGACGGAGTCAATTCAAGTTCACAGAAGGCCCAATGGATCTCACCCTCCATCTCCCTGTCTCTCTAAGAACCACCAGAAATGACTGTTCTGGGGAAGGTGCTTCGAACACTCCCAGGGAAGCAGAGTATGAGCACGGACTGGTGGAGGGACTGGTGGGGGGACAGGTGGGGGTCCCGCTGACGCCAGTGCAGTCACTGCCACTTGCCCTCCCACCCAGCTGGCTCTTTCGTCAACCCAGTGACACGGAACCTCCTTTACAGAGGATTATCCAGACAAGCACAGAAATGGAGAGGAATGCAGGGCTGCAAGCAGCTCCAGCTGTGGGGAGGAGGGGGGATATAAAGCCACTAAAATTATCCACGCACAGACAGCGGCTGGGACCCCACAGCTGATGGGCCTCTGGCCTCTTAGGTAATTTTCCACCCTTTGGGCCACTCCCAACTTCATTATGGCACCCAACATATTTAGAAATGACTTGATGGCCTTATGTAATGCTGAAATAATAAATCATGACCGTCACCAAGGCCTTCCTAGTCCTGACCATCCAGGGGATGCCCAGGGTGTGGTGGAGTTAACGGGCTGTATCCAGATCATCACTTTCTGGTTTCCTCGCCAAGTTAAGATTACCTGGAGAAAAGCCTGCTCGGCAAAGGCCGTGGGCAGGAGCTGAGATGCCGCTTTTCTGCAGACACACCTCTAGGAGGTAGGGTGGCCTGGCTTCTGGTCTGTGCAGAGGCGGAGGCTGGGCTCTGGAGAGGGAGGGAGGGGCTTGGTGCTTTAGTTCCGGGTCTCTGCCCGAGCAGCCCCTCGCTGCACTCACTCCTGCATCTCCCGCCCCTCTCTTCCTCCGAGGTAACCCTGAAATCCCCTACCCAGCCCGGCAATGCAGAGGACAGGTTTAGGAGGACATGGGGAGTCTTCCCTCCTTGTAACTCTGATCTGTTAAAAAGAAAACCACAGGCCCCCAAATGGACTCACTTATGTTGAGGGCCCACGACAGCAAACCAAGACTTTATACTCAACCTGTCTGCGGTTTCAATGTCCCCAGCAATGTTACTTTTAACCAATCAACATGGAATTTCTTGCTCAGCACTAAGAAATTACTGATAGGCCCCTTCTGTTCCCCTTAGGAGGGTGACCTCACCTAAAAATGCTTTCTTTGCTAATAATTTCCTTTTCTCTGTCTCCTCTCTGCTTTTAAAAACCTTTGCTTTTCTGTAGCTCAACAAAGCTCCTTTCTATTTGCTGGATGGGATGCTTGCTTGATTTACCAATTGTTGAATCAAGTGAATTTGATCTTTAAATTGATTCAGATCAACTGTTTAACACACCTCAATCCATTCTGAAACTTCAGCTGAGATATTTGCCCTCTAATTCCCCTCCCAACCCTCAAACACTGAGAGAAGAGAAAAGAAGTGGCAAGCAAGGGCTTCTACCACCAAGAACCATGCTCTTGCTGGATTTGCTCATAAAAAATGGTCTGCAGGAACCTGCAAGCCGCCTAAGCCCCTCTGATAGTCAAACGGAATCTTCCAAGGCCATCTGGCCCTGGTTGTGGGAAAAAAAATCTCCAAATTCTCCCACTGGGAAGGAAGACTCCTGGGAGCCTGTGCTCTGCCTGGGGAAGGGCTGCGGTGGGGCGCATGGGTCTGGGGCGCTCAGGGCTGACTGGGAGCCATCACCTCTGTGCTCCAGGGCCTGCCCCATGGGGGCTGGGAGACCTCAGGGCATGGAGGGAGGAGGGTGCTGGAACTGAATGCCCGTCTTCCTGCAGTCTTCCTTCCTGACCCCTCTCAGGACTGCTGCCCTCTCCCTGGTCTTTCTCCCACAGCCAGGCCCACTCCCATGCATCAGGCGAGCAGGAGGGGAGAGGACCGGAGGGGCCCCAACGCTGGGGAGGCTTTGCACTCACAACTGCAGCAGGCTAACAGCTGTCCTCTGCAGGAGCAGGCGTGGCGCTTGCCTCAGCTGCACGACAAAGTAGCCACGATTCGGATATGGTGGCCTGGGAGATGGCTGAGAGCCGGGTTGGCCTATCTGGCCTCCAGGGGAATGACCAGTTGGGCCCTCCCAGAGTGACTTCAGTGGGGCCCATCTATGGGAACTGGGGCAAGGTCACCCCCTCTGCCTCACCTCAGCAGTCTCATCAGCCAGAGGCCCAGGCAGGATGAGCAGAGTTGAGCCCCTGAATCACACTCCGTGGCCTCACCAGCCCCTCGCAGCAGACTCAGTCCCTTAACCTGACGTCTATTACTTTTTCAGGTCAGCCACCAAGTCAGACCTCACATCTGACTGATCAAGCCACGCATCTCTGAATGTGGCCCCCGGACCAGCAGCATCGCACCACGTGGGGACTTGTCGGACCAGCCCGAGTCAGGCCTGCCCGTTTCTGCTCAATCACAAACGCAGGGGAAGGGCATTCCTTTGCACCGAGCCCTCTGTGGGCTCCTCTGAGGATGGGTGGTAGGTGCTCTCTTCCTATCCTCAGGGTGGGTAGCCTTTCCCCACACTACCAAGCCACCCTCTCGGCTCACTTTGGCCAGATGACGGCCTCCTTCACCATTTAATGGACAATTGGTCAAGTTCTGCCTCCTCATCTACCTTAAGCCCTCCCTCGTTCCCCTCTTTCTTTGCTCCTACCCTCTTCCCAGTGTCCTCTGCAGGCACACACGCCCTTCCACCCACCTGGTCCTCCTCTCTCTCCAACTAGTCCCTCCCCATCTCCTGTTCTGGACCCTCTTCCTCTGGCCTATTCAAGGCCATGACCTTTCCCTTCTCTCTCCGCTCTTCCCTTACAAGCTGATCCAGCCATTGTTTCAACGGTCACGTCTAGTAGATGGCTCTATTATCATTATCTTTACTCCCCATTTCCTCAAACTCCAGATCTGTATTTCCAGCAGCTTCTAGGACACTCTCCTGGATGCCTAAGAGGCACCTCAACTTCTACAGTCCGCAATCAAGCTCACCTCCTTCCTCTGCTCCTCTCAAACCGCCCCACCGCCTAGCTCAGCATCCTGACCCTTGTCTCCACAGCTTCTAAGCCCTTCCCAGCTTTACCATCCCGGTAACTTTTTCTGGTTAAAAACTTAACATGTTGGACCGCAAAGTTCCCATGGATCCAACTAAGATGGGTCCAAGGGGAATAGCCCTAAAAACCAAGAGCTCCATCGCTTGCATAAATCCATATGGCAAAATGGTTGGCTTTCGCCCGCTCCAGGCTCTGAAGTCTAGAGGGAAGAGCAGGACTTCTGGACTTGTCAGTGTTTGCAGAAGCTTGGCAGCTCCTCAGAGAAAGGCTCAGCCCTCCTTGGGCAGAAAGGACAACACATTAAAGGGCTCCCTTCCCTGCTTCTCGAGTAACCAGATTCCTACTTCTGCGTCACTCCCTCTATGCGGAATGACCCTCTGGGAAGGGCTGACGTGTCATAGTCCTCGAGACAACTACTTTATTCAGGGACAGCAGTGGGTAGAGGTTTGAATCAGAGAGAAGAGAGAGGGTGAGGGGCAGGGTCAAGGATGGTGGTCAGCATCAGCAACAGGAGCAACGGCAGAGGCCATGTGTGAAAGGTTTGAAGCCATCCTGCTCCTTAAAGGGACAAACCTACACCGAAACCGTGCTGACCTCCAGCTTCTCATGGTACAGGAGCACCCAGCCCCCCCCACGTGGCCGTTCCTCCCCTTTCAAAGCCTGGACTCCTCCTGAACCTGGGGACTGGCGGCACAAACTGGGATGGGGACAAACGGGGAAACTTCCTCAGAATCGACAATACTGGATCCTGTCCTGTGCCTCCAAAAACAGACCCAACACTGCCGTCCCTGTCACCTTCCCAGATCAGGCACTGGGGCTCCAATCCCATCTCTGTCGGCTATACCACTGAACACAAGAGAGCAAACCAAGATTGTGTTCTGGCTTCTTCATTTGAAAAGAACTGTAAAACTCTCCTTACTGTACAGGACTGAGATGACAAGAATATGCTTGTGTAAAAGCAGTTCACCACTAACACACTGCTCGTTACGTCTAGCTTGATCCTTACACCAGCTCGTGAGATAGGCAGGGGAAGCATCTTGATCCTCGCTGACAGATGAGGAAACGAAGCCTCCAGAAGGATTTGCCCAGCTGCAAGGCTAATATGCCGCAGAGCCAGCGCTCAGCCTGGACCTCTGCACACCGTGCCACCCCGTCCCCAGCATGGTGACACAGCTGCTGTTATTAGTAAGACTATCATTTTCTTCCAGTGTAATTATGGCCCACATGTTTGCCACTGGATTATCACAGATTGCTTTGGGCATCCTCAGCACCTCTAATCTGTCATTTCTTAAGTGGGTCACTTTGACCTAAGCAGTAGGGATGGAGTCACCAGCCTCAGAGCTAACACAGGGGAGGGTAAAGTCAGCCAGGAAAGGAATGAGCCTGTGGGTATTTCTGCTGCCATCATCCATGGAGGAGGGGGGATTTCACACTTTCTGATGGGCACAGAGGGAGACAGAGCTTCAGGAAAGTTTATCCATTCTAACAATCCCATTCTTGGGGTGAGAGAACTTAAGCCTATAAAGGTTACCTGATATGCTAAGGTCACAGGGCTCATGAGTAGCTGACCTGGCTCCAGGCCCAGGTTTCCTAATTCTAAATCCAGGGCTCCTTCCATGCTGCTAGGATTTGAGGCCCCTCTTCATCTCACACCATCTGGGGCTTATCCCTCCATCTGTGTCTCCAGCTGACAGGGGCAGTGTAAGCAATGGGGGCGATGCACATGGCAGGTCCTTTCCCCCAGGAGACAGTCCCCTTGGAGATCTCTGCCTGGTTCAAAGGCCATAGCCAGGGCACGGCGTTGTTTCCAGGGACCACAACAATCCCCAAGAATGTGTGTGTTGGGCTTGAGCTAGGGAAGAGGAAATGCTACTCACGACTTGTCTCGCCTGCCGAGCCGCCTTGGGGGGCTTGCCTGTCTTCTTCGGGGGGACAGGGATTTTCCACGGCTCCTCACCTGGGTTGGGGAGTGGGCACTTGCAGGCTTCAGGATCTGGAGGAGATACGAGTGTGTTACCACCTGGCTCCTAAGGGACCCGCGCTCATCTCCCGACAGTACAGCATCCCAGCCCCCAGCCCGCTCATGATCCCCAGGTTTAAGGCCCTGAGATGCAGACTTCCAGAGGAGGACTTACAGAATGTTCCTCTCTCATTCTGCACTGGTGAGAAGCAAAGGCACCACTTCCCAGAGGGGGACATGATTAACCTGTGCCCTCTTTGCTGCAGCAGAGAGAGGAGCAGAGCCCAAGGCTCAGCCCCCTGGGCTTTGTCAGTTGCTTAGGAGTTTCTCTCCAGTGAAAGCAAAGTGCCATCTGTGATGCCCCAGAAAGCAGCTTGCTGTTCTTCTGACCCTCCCATCCCATACACATGCACAGAGTGCTTTCAATTTATCAAGAATCTCCCTTCCAGGTCCCAGAGAGTTAAGGTGACAAGCCCCCAGGTGCTAACCATAACCAGCCTGAGGTCGGCATATTCTCTTTGCCTGCGGTCCTTAGTGTACACACAGGCTTTCTCTGTGATTCCACAAGCCCTGGAGAGACCAGGACAGCAGGACTTGGAAGTGACATGGTAGAAGGAAGCAGGGTTTAGGAGGATAGTTTATGTAAACCAGCACAGTGCATGCTCCTCCATTTGCTGTTGAGATACCAGGTCAGAATTTTATGCCAAAGGGCTCTGCAACTTACAGAGCAAAGCGGAGCTATAATGTGACTCTTAAATAGATTATAGGGCAGGATGACTGCTCACCCTGGTTTGCCCAGGTCTTTCCTGACTTTAAGTACTAAAAATTTCATGTCCTGGGAAACCCCTCAGTTTCAGAAAAACTGGGAGGATTGATCACCCAATTATAAAGACAAAAGAAAACAAATTTAGAAACTTAATAAAAAATGACTAACAGTTCAGATTTGACATCATCAATGAACTACCGGCCAAGACATTGCTTTAACTAGAACATCTAAATTGGCTTTAGCTCTGGTTTTTAAAATAGCATATGCAAAGAGAGACTTTAATTGCCCATTCCAAATAATGAGTGACTTATTTGTTTTAATTGGGTGGCCACTAAGCTAGATAACCTCAAGAAACTTGGGACTGTCCCAGAAATACGGGGCATGAGGCAAGGAGAGAGAAAAGATGGAAGAAGAGCTCGCATTTGCCTTCCCAGGACCTACCTTCATTCTCATGTCCCTGGCATATTTCTCCAGCTCCTTCCTTATGTCTGCCCTCAACATCTTTGAGACATTGAGGACCAGTTGCTTCCACTCAATGGGCTGGAAGCTGTGAGGCTCATGGGAAACATACAGCCCAATCTTGACCTTCTTGACTGTGTGCAGATATTTCTTATAGGAGTCTTCAAAGTCAAAGATGAGGTCACTCAGAGTCCGAAAGGTCAACGGCTTGTCCATCAGCTCAGCCCTTCGGCTCATGCCCAGCGAGCCATAGCGGCCATTGCAATAAATCCCCAGCACAACATGGTGAAAGTAGTTTCCTGAGAAGTAGGTTTTAAAGCTGATGGGGAATCGCTCGATGGAAGGCTGTCCATTGGTTAAGTATCTTAGACAATCTGAGTCAAGGAAGAGAAAGGAGGCCTTGAAAATTCACATAACTTGGACTCCCAGGAAGGAATGAGGCCGATATAGCCACTGTGTCCATCACCCTGCCTCTGGGCAGGCCCACATCTAACCTTTCCAGACTAATTCTATTAGAAAGAATTCACTCAACATCTTTGAACACCTACTATATCATGCATACCAAAGCCAAATTAATATGGGACAAAGAGAAAAAACTTGCCATCTTCTTTAGTAATTACACAAATGCAAAACAGTAACAAGGTACATTTCCCTCTCTTGGTCTTCTGCAGGGGATGATGGGCTCTTAAAGTATTTTTTATGTAATCAGAGAATAGCTGGAGAATGTGCAGCAGACCAGAAATTGAAGGACTCTGCAATGGTCCAGGAGAGAAATGAAAACCAGAATCAAGCAAGGCAGTGGAGATGGAAAGGAAACAGAACAGACTTGATTATCTGGGTGGGCAGGGACAGAAAGGCATTAAAATGGGTCCCAGCTGCACCTCGTTTGCTCCTCCGGTTGGCCCAGCATGCCCACGCCCCCAGCCTTGGGAACCACATGGAAAGCTGCCTTCCACACCTGACCCCCCAGGCTCCCCTTCCCAAAGCACTGGGCATCATGCCTGGCTCTCTCCACTTACTGGCCCATCTGGATTGAATCCTCAGCAACCTACAGGTACAGCTCCAAGTAACTGGCCCATTGGCTCCCCTAGAATGGACAACACACAGCACATCCTCAAGCCCATCCTCAAGTCCCAGGGCAGCCTGTTGTGACCCAAGGACCCAGTTTTATGGGAGGTGTTTATTAGGAACTCATGATGTTGCTCCTCTGCTGAAAACCACTGGCTACTCCAGAGGGTTCCTAAAGTGACTAATAATCCAGGTGCTTCTCATGGGGCCTTCCGCAGGCTGGTGCTCAGTGCATGGGAACCGTGCTCCACTCTGGGAATCTGTCTTCACTATTTCTTGCCCCCACTAATTTACTTGCTACACAGTGGCCAGAATGATCTTTTCTTTTTTTTTTGAGAGGGCATCTCTCATATTTATTGATCAAATGGTTGTTAACAACAATAAAATTCTGTATAGGGTACTCAATGCACAATCATTCATCAACCCCAAGCCTAATTCTCAACAGTCTCCAATCTTCTGAAGCATAACGAACAAGTTCTTACATGGTGAACAAGTTCTTACATAGTGAATAAGTTCTTACATGGTGAACAGTGCAAGGGCAGTCATATCACAGAAACTTTCGGTTTTGATCACGCATCATGAACTATAAACAATCAGGTCAAATATGATTATTCGTTTGATTTTTATACTTGATTTATATGTGAATCCCACAAAAAATGATCTTTTTAAGTCAAAATTTGGTACATGTCAACTCCTCTGCTTAAGGTTTCATTGTCTCTCATCTTATCCAGGGCTTGATCCAAATACCTTAGCAAAGTCCTGCCATGAGCTAGGCCCTGCTCATCATCCCTCTGAACAGTGTCATGTCTCCCACACCTTAGGCTAGCACTCTGACCTATTGCTGACCTGTGACATTTTTGGAGGATACACCCTGAGACCGTAACAACCACAGATCTCTACCCTCCACCCTCAGCACATATATCCTCTCATAGTATGAAGTCAAATAAAACTGAAAATTTTTAATGACTTTTAACTGACCTTTACAAAGCTAGGAGTCCAAGGTAATCTAGAGTAATCTATGAAACTCAGAAAAATGCCACGAAACACTGTATACTACATTATGTCCCTGCTGTAGTATCTCCCTTTATGGCTTCACTCACATATTGCCTTATAGTGCGAGGGATTCAAATCTGACAGAGATCTTTGGGGTCTCCTAAGAATCATCAGGGTAGGTTGCTATGCACTTACTCTTTACAAGGGCTGCACACAGACTGAAATGGACTACTATTCCCTCTCCCTTCTCAGGTGACACCTTCCTTGGTGTGAATTAAGTATCCTTCCATCCCCCACAAGAACCCCATAGGACTTGGTGCTAAATCAATTTATTTGTGATTGCTTATTTGTACCTTGTAAGGGAAGGAGTTGTGTTTGACATCCTGGTATCCCTAGATGGAGGTGCTTGGCTCACACTTGCTGGAAGGATGGACCTGTCCATACAAGCAACAGGCCTGCACTCGTAACTGGATACATAACTGGATTAGCTGGGGACTAATCCCAGGACCCTTAAGGAAAGAAGCTGACAGAAGCCAGCCCACCTGCCTGAGGTCAGCCTTGTCCTCTGGGCTCCACTTAATCCCAGAGCGTCCTTTCTATAAAAAATGGTTACCTGCTTTCTCTTCACTTCATCATGTGAAATTCAGTAGCAGTGAGGGAGTGAAATCCCATCCTTCCGCATCCTCTTACATAAATTCGTACTTCCTTTTTGAGGAGAGTTCTCTGCTACAATAAGGCCTTCCTTAGCTGTAGAAGTCAGTGTAACAAACACTACAGTGAGGGTCTCCTGTGCTGGACAGCTGGGGTGGCTTGAACTTTTTAGTTATTCTGAATAATGCTTCTATGAATGTGGCTCTACGAATATCTGTTCAAGTCCCTGCTTTTAATTCTTTTGGGTATATAGAGGTGGAATTGCTGGATCATATGCTAACTCTGCCACTAATTTTTTGAGGAACAGTGTGATCACATACTGATCACACCGTGTGCCCTATAAGTCAGTCTGCCCAATGGACTTCCAGAGAAGAACTTCCCCTGCCGGCTGCACAGCCCTCCTGGCCGTCTGGAGATGGATGCTGGCGATGGCTGCACAGCAGTATCAATGTTCTCAAAGCCACTGAACTGTACACTTAAAAATACTTACAATGGTAAAGTCACAAACATTCTATCACCATTTTTTTTTCACCCACATTCACAATGTATGCATGTCAAGTCATTATGCTGTATACCTTAAGCTTTTTCTTAAGATAATGAATTTTATTTATTTTTAATTGAAGTATAGATGATAGACTATTATGTTGGCTTCGGGTGTACCATGTAGTGGTACATACACCTTCAACCTATAGAGTGCTGCATGTCAACTGTGACTCGGTGGAACTGAAATACACAGCAGCAAGCTGAGAGAGGCAAGCCCAGAGGCCTCCGGGAGAGCAGTCAGAGGCCTCGGATAACCATGCCAGCGTCAATCTCATGAGACAAGTAGAGTCAGCCTCATGGAGAAGAGGGAGAAGGGAGGGGACAGGAGAGACTGCCAGTCTGCCCTATCACCACCACCGATCTCTAGGACTTGTTCCTTCACGACGGCCATCAGTAAAGCTTGGGACCTGGAGCACTTGGGCAGAGAGGGAGGGGACGAGGAAGTAGGGGGATGAGAGGGAAGTGGCCTGAGCTTTTCCAGAAGAGGGAGCAGCAGTCCCCCAAGCTCTGGGAACACATGCCAGCATCTGCCTGTAAGGACAAACCTGTAACCTCAATAAGCCACAGTGCTTCATAACCATGATTAAGTCCAACCGGAGTCAGAGAGGCCCCCTAATGAGCTCTCCGGACTTGGACAAGATGTTGGAACCATGGGTCTGTCTTTCTGCACCCACGTGAGTGCACACACACTCACGCAAAACCCAAAGAAGTGGCTCCTCATAGATGAACCCTGACCTCTGGGCTAACAGCAAACAAGAGAAAGCAAGGACAAGCCAATGGACAGAGGACCTGCAGAGTGGGAGACACAGAAGGTGACCCAGGTCATGTCCTCCACTATCCTCAAGAGGATGCTGACACGGAGCAAGAGAAAAGGCAAAGATGGTGTAACCGTTAGGACTCAGATCTGCATTTCTTGTCTGTGTGCAGGAATCAAATTTCCCTGCGCTCCATGGGGTGAGCCCAATGTCCCCACCTTTCCCCACTTCCCTGCACAGTTCTGAAATGTCACACCACTAAGAACAAAGGAAAACCAAGAGCACATTATCCTCTGATTTGGACAGAGGCTGGCATCAGTCTATCCCACACAACCCCAAAAGAATTAAGGTATTTCCAGTAACCTAAAGTAATGCTTGAATTTATACACTTGTGCAGGGACAAGACTACTGTGTACAAGACCACTGAGTAAAGCAGGTTGACTCTGTGCTGCCGCACTCCGACACCCCATCAGCAGAGTGGCTGGTCCACACAGGGCAGGGCCTATGCTCGTGCCGTCCTCACAGATCAACACCAGCAAATCCCCAACAATTGTTCACCCCCATTAAACTTGCAGGAGGCTCTGTGCAACAGCTGAGGCTGACTCCTGCCAGGGAACGATGGGCCCTGAGCCATCTGCTGCCCCCACCCTGCCCTGCCCTCCTGCGGCACACACATCTGATCTTTGCAGGGAGCAGGGAGGAGATATGACAGGAAGGGCCTCACCAACGCTCAAGTTTCCATCTTTCAAATGTCGGTCCTGGGAACTCTTGTTTCAGATCAGGCCTGCCAGTACTCTGCAGACCACAGAGCATCAGAAATTCCCCTCCCCCTTCGCCTTCCCACCAAAATGCCCAGGAAACCAGGAAAACAGACTAACCTGCCCTCTGGTCCCCAGTCTGATCCTGAGCCACCTGCCTTTCTGCATATGTCTGCATCGTCTTTCCCCTCTGGTTTCCCTTGCGCCCCTCTAGCTTTCCTTCTGAGTCCCTCCTTGAACAGCAACGAGCATTCCCTGAACACTAATAGCTCCAAAGTTAGTACTTCCACTGCAGACCCCTTCCAGCACCACACCGGGACTTCCCACAGGCACCTCCAATTCCACATACCCCAACCTGACCTCATCTCCCCATCGGTCTGATCTTGCCCTTCAAGTCCTCCCATTGGTCTGTGACATTAGCAACCAATCACCCAATTTCCAAGCCAGGAGAGCGAAGTAATTGCTGCTGCCTCCTCTTAACTCCTCACATCTCGTCAGCCCTCAGTGGTGCTGGTGACACTCCCGACTCCTTCCCTCCACCTTCACTGCTACTGTCTTAGTTCAATTATGCCAAAGCGTTTCGTTTCCGTGTTGTTCGCATCCCTCCTGCCCATCCTGCAGACTGTCTCCCAATCCAGAAACTGGTATTTACTGACTCCTTCCCCATCACCTCCTGCACCGAGCTGACCTCCAGGTCCTGTAAATTCTGTCTCCTTGATACCTTTTAAACCTGTGTCCTCAAGTCCATTCCCCCAGCCAGGACCGTGGCCCAAGCATCGGCACTTCCCTCCTGTAACAGCTCCTAACAGGCTTTGCCAACTGAGCCTCCCCTCCTCCAGGAAGTCCTTCAGAGGGTCCTGGGAACCATGCCTCCAAAGTGTGCCTCTGATGATGTCACACCTGCGCCACAGCTGTCATCTGGGCTGCCCACCACCTTCCGGCAAAAGGTCACATTTCTCAGCACAGCACTCAAAGACCTAATGGATTTTACCTGGGACCACATTCGTTTGTTCACTGTCCCTTCCAGCCATCCACCCCAAAGGACTGGGAATTTCTTGGCTCTTCTATCAGCTCGTGTTCTATAGCCATCACCGTAAGTTAGTGTCATCACAGTTATTCCTGGACCAGATTCCTCTCTGGCTGAGGAGCCAGGAGTGTGGTGGAAAACGGAACAGAAAGTGTGAGACACACCACACCCCTGCTTCAGCTCTGGGTTCTGCAGTCAGGACACTACAATCCACTCTTGGTCTCCACCACAATCCACACTTAGAATTTTTCCTGGGAATGGGGTTGCGTGATTTCATTTCCCCTTGAGTATCTTCCCAGTTGCAATGCCAAATTCATGCAAAAAATAACAATACCCACTCTTCAGTCTCTCTAAGTTAGAATGTCCTTGTAACTAGTGCGTGCAGCCTGAGAGCTTGCCCGGATGCAGGCTTCAGCTCCCAGTTTACACTGATAACAGTCCAAGGAGCCAGGCTCTGATTTGGTCCACCTTCAAGTGTGAAAGTTAAAGAGAAACACCAGGGAGGGTTGATTTCCTCTGAGGAGACGATGGGCATCTTCTCTGTACATCTTAGATGTTAAAGGCACGAGCAGCTCCCCAGTGAGGCTACCATCTGCAATGCAAATGTAAACATACATAACTTAAAGGATACATGCCCAGGATGACAGCTTCAAGGCATTTGATAGGCAAGGACTCTCGAGTCATTTCTTTTGCTGTTTCCATCAACCTGTTGGGTAAAGCACAGCAAAGGTTCTCAGGACTTATTTAATTAGGCAGTTGGTCTCTCGATCTGTCAGCTTGCACATGTCCACATCAAGCACCACGCAGGACCATAGAGGCAAGGGGCAGACTCGCCTGCAGGAGGGTCCCAAAGCACATTCTCACCCAAAGCAGGACTAAATTCCCATGTTCTCCACTCCTCTCTCCACAAGTTGGTCCTATATTCCCTCCCACTACTGCAGGACAAGAGCATTACAATGCAGCAAGTAAAGGGGGCCACATAAATGTCACAGGCCACCCCAACTCCCTGAAACAGCTTAGCTGTCAGAGAGGCCCAGACCTCAGCCCCACCTCGAACCCGGCCCTGGGCCCTCCCCCACCCCCTTACAGACATTAAAGCCCTGGGATACAGGGACAGAGGGCGCAAGAGGGAGTTGGCAGGTCTTAGGGAGGAGAGAGGTCACCTCATGCACAGATCATGCACCACTTACCCACTCAATGGTCTCATTTTCCTAATTTCAAAGAACTGGGTCCCTGTATGATTGTATCTGTGTAAAGTATGTAAAGGGAAAGTGAGAGAAAACTCCAAAGGTCCTGGTAAATCCAGCACAGGAAGCTATGCATTGACTTCTCAAAGGGATGAGGGGCCTCCCAGAAGGTGTCCAGTAGTCGGAAGGTAGCCAATAGAATCCTACTCCTCACCATCCTGCCCTGGAAGTCCGGTTTCCAACCTAGGCCCAAAGCACCTGGGCCTTTGTAGTAGCTATTTTCAGTCTACTCTGTATTCGGTCTAATTGAATGAATATATGTCTTAATTCACCTCCTACACTACAAGCTCTTTGAGAGTTGGGGCCATGTATTTATCAACTTTATACCACCCATAAGACCTGGCACAAGCCCAACATATTCCAGGGAGCAAATATTATGAAATAAATGAGGAATGTGTGAGTAGCTGGGTGGACAGATGGATGGAAAAATGGGTGGATGAAATAAAAAAGGGCAGGTGGATAGATGGATGGGTGGAAGGGCAGGTGGGTAGATGGATGAAGTGGAAGGTTCTGGATGGAAGGATGTAGAGATGGCTGTAGGGCAGTACATACTCTAACCCCCAGGGCAACAGTGAGAAGCTGACTGAGCATGCGCTGCAGGGTTTATGGGAGAATGAGCGACGGGTAATTAAAGCCACACAAATTTGCTGCCACCAGGGCTCTCCCGGCAGGGCTCATGCTCTTTCATCTCTGGAGGATGACGCTTGCAAAGACGTTGTCCTAGATCAAAGTGGGGAGGCATTCTAATTTCTGTCATCTTCTCGAATGCTCTGTGAGGAACTGGTCCCATCCAGGAAGCCTCAGGTCTTGGGGTCTAGATCTGCTCTGGCAGAAGTTCGTGCTTCTGGACCACTTGGTGCTCCCCTCGTGGGGTCCCAGTTTGGAGATCAGCACAACCCCAGAGAGCCACCCAGTGTGGCCTGTCCACCTGGCCCCTGGAGGCTGGTGCTACCTTCTCCCCCAATAACATTTCAGGATTCCCCTGGGGAGGTGCCATGCAAGGGCGTTCATAATCTGTAAAGAACTGAGAGGCTGTTCAAGTACTCTGCCTACCCACGTGAGCAGCATCAGTGTATTCCCTTCCGGTGGTACCCTTCCCTTCCAGGGACAAGACAAATATCCACAGGAAAGATTCTGGCCTACAGCACAGAGAGGAGCATGTGGGGTAGGTGTGCAGTGCCCATCAAGTCCTTTCTGCTAAGTTCTAGGTCTCTAGGGAGGAAGGACAGAGGTCAGCAGAGGCTTGACCTCCTGGACAACGTGCTGGGGGCCAGGGTGGTGGCAGCTGCCTCAGGAGGGAGTCTGATGCTGGCTTGGCTCTGAGAGGCTCACGGACTTGTTTGGGCAAATGGCCTGTCCGTCTCCCACACTTCTGTCAGCCCAGCTCCCCTCAGACTTCTATAGCTGATAAAATACCAGCAGTAGCAAGAGGACATCCGCTTCTGCTCATGGTTCCTACGCTGTTGCTCATGCGGGCCCTCAGAACAGATCTTCCGACTGCAAACAGCCTGAAGACCCTGGAGAAGAAAAGGACCCCAGTCCGGCTGGTCTGAACCCGGCCTGGGCCCAGGGCCTCCTGGCTTTTCTTTGAAGTCGGGGCGGGGGAGGGCCCCTACCCAAGAGCCCCATCGCTCAGGTGGAGCAGAACAAGGACACTAGTCTCGGTCACCTGGGGAGCCAGAGGCAGTGGGAGGGGGGCCTCCTATAGACGATGAATGATCGGGAGGAAGGCAAAAACTGAGAGAGGAGAGAAAAGGAACAGAAGACGAGGAGAGAAGGGGGAAAGACAGAGAAAGAGAGGAGAGCAAAGATGGTGGCGGCGGCGGACGAGGGGAAGGTGGAAGGAAGCCAGAGGGCACACCGCTGCCTCTGCTTCTGCCGCCCCAGCACGCACTCTGCCCAAAGGGAGGAGGCTCTGAGGACTGCACGTACACCCTCTGTTGCCACTCCTTCTGCACTCTCACTAGGCGCGTCCCTCCAGGCCTGGCCTCGCCACCTCCTCTGACCAGCTGGGGACAGACGTGCTCCTGGACCGGCAACTGCCACCCCTGTCCCCGGCTGGGTCTGCTCAGACCCAGCTGGAAGGATACTGTAGCGTCTTCATGTAGTTCTGGATTGCCTGGAGCCAGTCTGGAATCGTCATTGAAAGCCTGTAGTTTGGAACCTGGGGTATTGTAGGCTGCAGAGAAGCAGAGACAGAACTTTTTATCAAGGACACGCTCTGGATCCCAGTGCCCGGAGGCAGGCACAGGGCTGAGACACCAGAGCTGCTCCCAAGGGCAGAGGCCACCCTGGCATGGTCACTTGCTTAAGTGGTGCCTCCAGGATGAGCCAGCCCCTTGCTGAGGCTCTCCCTCTCTGCACCCCTCTGTATACTCTTCTCCTGGGGTCCCAGCAGCTCTCCATGGCCCTCTGCGTGCTGTGCATGAGCGCAGCCTGCCTCCCCACAGGAGCCTCAGCACCTCCCAGAGAACAAGGACCAGGCCCTGCAGAGTCCCCACTGAGTGTGGCCCAGGATGGTCAGAGGACCACCACGGGCCCTCACATTATTGCTAATACGTGGCTGGTGCGAGTCCAGGGCACCGATGAATACAAGATGAATGCTGCCCTGAATAGATGCTGCGGGGCCTCTGGTGCGGTTCTCCTCAGTACCACCCCTGTCCAGCCCGCTGTGTCCCTTCCCATCCCCAGAGCCCTGCCCTAGCAGGTTAGGGAAGGCTCCCTTCTTGCCCAGAAGAGTCCCAGGCAGGTGCTGGTCCTCTGACTCATGTTCCTGCCCGCTGACCCTGTCACCCAGCACAGCCACCCAGTCTCCCCTTCATTTCCTAGTCTGCCTCTTGGCCCACAGTTACCAAGTGTCTACAACTGAATGGATGAAAAGGCAAAGAGAAGGGAACACAGCAGGCTAGGGCTGAAAGGGGGAGGCAAATGTCTTCCCAGGAATTCAGAGCTAAGATACACTCAGCTCTGAGCAGCCCTGTCCACGGGGTCAAGAGGACCCACAGGGGCTTCCCATGCAGTCACTCCTGGGAAGCGAGGGGCATGTGCTTTGTTCCCCCTTCATGTTTCCCAGTCTCTTCCTCTTGGCCTCTCCAGTGAGGGGGGGCCTTTGGTGACAGAGACACTCGGCCCATGTGGGTTCCAGAGTGGCTGCCAGCAAGGAGAGGAGGCTCCCCCAGGCTTAAGCTGCTTAGGGAGGAGCAGAGAGGGCCGCAGGGCAGATTAGATCCATCCTCAGGGAGAGCCAGGGGGGAGCAAGGCTGTGGGGATTTAGAGCTGAACTGCTGGGAGGTGAAGCTGCTGGTGAAGACGGGGCCAGCGCTGGGCAGCGTAGCTGGGCAGCAGAGCCGGACGCAGCCAATGGACAGACCCCGGTCCTCTCCCAGCTCCCAGGCTCGGCCCACAGGGCAGCTGGTGGCAGCTCCAGGCCTGAGGCGGAGGTGCTGGCAGACTTCCACACCTTCGCTGCATTAACTTAAATGAGCTTGCCCTTCTTTTCCTCTCCGTGCCTCCATTCTCTCCTGGCTCTGAAACTTCCTACTTGACAGCAACTACCTCCCCCACCCCACCGGCAGGAAACCAGTCCCGCGTCCTACTTCACAGCTGAGGTGCCGTGTGCGTGCAAGTCTGCACACAGGCACAGCTGTTCTGCAAACTCTATTTTGTTTACAACACATCAACTCAAACCACATTCCCATCTTGGAGAGTCACTTATGGGAGCAACATGTTCCAATCTGAGCATTTGCTGACACAACCCTTCCCTCTCCCAGAGTCAAAATAAAGTGCATCCTTGTGTTTTGTCCTAACAAACCCTAGGAAGTGTCAAGTTTGGCTTCGCTTTTTGCAGTCACATCCCCTGATGTATCCACCGTGGACTCTGTGTGGGAATGTGCCAGAGATCTCACGGAGAAGTGAGGAGTGCAGGGGAGAGGGAACGGCACTTGTTCAGCACCTCCCAAGTCCCAGCTCTAGGCCGGGCGCGAAGCGGGAGGGAGCACAGGGGCAGAGGAAGGGAGGAGGGAGACCACACGAATAAGGCACGGACGGTGCTGTTTGTACCTCCTTAATAGAAAGGCCAGTAAGCAAGAGAAAAAGCCCCAAAGAAGCACCAGCCACCTACAGGACCCCCGGGGGGCGGCCCCTGGCCAGGGCCCTGCGATTGCCAGAGTGACTTGGTTCAGAGTCGGCTCTGGGAACCGACCATCATGTCACCTCCTCCAGCCCAAGAAAGTCCACAAGAGCTGGATGACGAGGGGTGGGGGGGGTTTCAGGCGGCAGCTGCTCCCCAGAATAAGGGCCCAGGGGTGCTCAAGGGCTTTTAAAAACAGCTGCCTGGTTACTTCAGCCCTGGCTGAGAGAGTGCTGGAGCCACATTCCCCAAACCCCAGCCGGGGAGCAGGGGGGATGATGTCATCCCACCACAACTTGCCCTGATGTCTGGGACAGCTGGCGGGGGGCTGCGGTGGGGCTCAGCTCCCAGCCAGCGCCTCAGGCAGCCAAAGCCCTACAGGATATGGATGGCGTGTAACCAGGAGACCCACACACAAGGTTCAAGTCCCGGCTCTGTCACCTCCTTGCTGTGGACCCTGGAGAAGCTTCATGGCCTCTGTGGGCCTCTGTTTCCTTCCTGATGAAACAAGGGAATATCACCTACTTCCAATTTCCTGCTCTGGTTATGAGGGTTATATGACCTAATGTGTAAGGCAGGCAACTTGGAGCTTGGCACTCGGTGCTTTAAATGTTAACTGTGCTATTCTCATTCCTCAACAATGTGTTCTCCGGGGTCTTCACTTTTCTGGAACTGGAAAACAGAATCAGCAGGGCCTGAGTCCCTGGACACCCAAACAGGAGTATCATGACGGGGCCGTCTCATCCTTAGGGGATGAGAACATCCACTTCCCCTGGAGACACATGATGGCAATGAGTTCATAGCCACGAAGAGCCCATACAAAGCGATATGAAGACTCTTTAGTCCTCAATGAAAAAATTAAGGCCCCCAAAGGTGGAAGCAACCAAGTGTCCATCAACAACAGATGGACAGACAAACAAAATGTAGTGTGTATATATATTGTAAATAACACATATATTTATATGGTATACACACACAATGAAATATTCTTTAGCCTTAAAAGGACATTCTTTCACATGCTATAACACAGATGAACCTTAAAGACACTGTGCTAAGTGAAATCAGCAAGTCATAAGAGGACAAATATTACATGATTCCTCTTACACAGGAGTCCCCCTAATCCAAGGGGGATAAGTTCCAAGACCCCCAGTGAAAGCCTGAAACCACAGATTATACTGAACCCTATATATACACTATGCTGTTTCCTATACAGACATACCTATGATAAGATTTTAATTTACAATTTAGGCATCGTGAAAGCTTAACAATAACTAATAATAAAATAGAGCAATTATAATAAATATTGTAATACAATTTCTGTGAATGTGGTCCCTCACTCCTAAAATATCTTACTGTATTGTAGCCACCCTTCTTCCTCTTGTGATGATGTGAGATGGTAAAGTGCCAACGTGATGAGGTAAGGGAAGTGGACAGTGTGGGCACTGTAGGGTAGTGTTAGGTTACTGTTGACCTTCTAATGATACCCCAGGAGGATGGTCATCTGCTTCTGGACAGCGGTTGACTGAGGGCCACTTGCACCGGGGATAAGGGGAGATCACTGTAGAAGTTCTGAGAGTAGTCCGATTCATAGAGACAGAAAGCAGAGGGGCTGTTGCCAGGGACTGAGGGGAGGGAGGAATGAGGAACTAATGCTTAATGGGTACAAAGTTTCAGTTGGGGAAAAGGAGAAAGTTCTGGAGATGGAAGGTGGTGATGTTGTACAACCATGTAAATATACTTAGTGCACAGAACGGTACATTTAAAAATGGTTAAAATGGCAAACTATATGTTATATATATTTTACAAGTTTAAAAATGGCCATGAAAAGACAATTCACAACATTAGAAATGCAAACAGTGAATAAATAGTTGGAAAAAAGTGTTCAAGTTCACTAATTTAAGAAATGCAAATTAAGGTGCTGCATAATGTCATTTTTCACCTCTTCGACGAGCAGAAATATCCTGAAATGTGGATATTCAACGCTGGCAAGGATGCTGAGAACACAAATGGTGTAACCTTTCTTGAAAAGCCCACAGCACACTCTTTTTTCTCCTCCCTAATGGGTCCTGAGAGTCCCTTCTCATATTCTTTTCCTGCTTAATTTCACCTGACACTCCAGCCTAGATTTTTCCATGGCCCTTTCCCTCAAGGTTCCTGCCTCCCACAGCCTGCATCCGGCCCCTGAAGCTGCTGCCCAGCAGAGAGAACAGATCAAAACCACCCTCTCCACACCAGCACTGTGCCTATGGTCTGGGTAGGAGGAGGGAGTGGGCTGAAGAGGAGATGGCTGTTCGAGAATCACGAAACCAACCACAAACAAGACTTTGTGGACAGGCTCACTCTCACTGCATTCTTGCCAAACACGATTACCTGTCAACAGAAGGTAAGACGCTATGTGGACGGACACACGTGTGTGGTTACGTCGCCATGTAGGAAAGAAGGAAGATGCCTGAAAAGGAGCCAGAGCCACAGTGAGAACCCCAAGCACCAGGAATCTTTAGCAAGAATGAACAAGGAGAAAGCAAAGCCTTTTGTGGCCCCTGCCCTGAAAAGCACACTGTGCAGGCACCATGCAGAAGAATCTTCTCTGACGACTTGGGGAAGCACAGACCATCACTGCAGAGCCCACGGTGGACTCCAGACCCCTCCACCAGCTGGGGACCTACTGTTGGCAGCTTGGTATGAAGGTCCAGGGGTCCCAACCTTGGGCCAAGCAGGAAGGACAGACGATGGTTCAGAATCCTGGACAGAGGCAGGAGTGAGCTGCCCGCATGAGCCAGGGGGCAGGAGTGGAACCCTGACTATGCAGCGTCACCCACAGTACTTATTCCCCCCAACACTTCACCAGGCAAAGCTGAGTCCTCTGAATGTGAATTGTTTCCCAATTTGGAATCAACCTGAGAACAAGGCACAAAAACATGGGGTGTGAAAGAAACAGAGTACTGTTTTCTGCTGAATCCATCCTACTAGTCAGCCCCTGGGAAAGTCCAGCGCCAGCCAGTCAAGAAGCAGGAAGAGCGGCTTCCAGGGACATTCGGCTGCTTTTCCTGGACCAGCCACTCTCCCTGCCTCTCCTCTCCCATCCTCTAGTACCCTCCAACGGCCTCACGCTGCTTTCCGGCACTGTCCTGGAAGAACTTTGGCTTCACCTAGGCCCCAGTAACCACCAGGGGAGAGGCCTGCAGCCACAAATTTAGGAGAAGGATGGCAGAGGACGTGAGCATCCGTAGGTGGGAGTACCTAGACCTTTGGACAGAATGTCCTGTAGTCAAAGGAAGTGTCCTTCAGTCCTCCTCTTAGGCTTCTGACATCTTCCCTTGTCCACTTCTTTTGCTTCTTAGTCCACATGCAATTGCCCGAAAAAGTCATTGTCTCTGAAACTCTCCAACCCTTGTACCCCCCACCTTCTAGCCACCCTTCTTCTGTACAAAGTTCTCAGCAAGACAGTGATTTGCTTAAAGGAGAAATGGACTTGGCCCCCAGGAAAAAGTCTCAGCCAAGCTGAGTGCAAGAATAGCCCTTGAATCAGAGAGGAGTGGCCTCAAAACAGGAGCTTTTGAAGCCATCCCCATCTCAGGGCTAAGCGGGGGTCAGTTTGGGGAATGCTGGGACCCAGGAGAGGGGGGATGCTACGATGGCGCTGGGGTGGAGAACCAGCCAGTATTGCATAGTGGAACAGAGCAAAGTTAAATTCTTTAGGTTCAAAATACGAAGGCCCCCTTTGGATCCGGGGTTGTCCTGGCTTGGCCAGGGATTCTCATGGGACCTTCGGGTTACTGTGAAAGTACAATATGATGTGGTTGAAATATTAAAAAAAAAAAAAAAAGTAACACTCTGTTGTAAAGAACACAGCATTCAGGCACAATAAGGAAGTATCAGGGGGTATCAGGGGCAGGTCTCAGGAAGTGATGTGTTCTAGACTTTTCAGACAACATTTAGAATATTGTGTTTCCTGTGCTTGTTTTAGGGGACTGACTGATGATACACTAGCAGTCGTCCTAGAAAGAGGACGAGAAGAGTGCTTTGCGAACGAAGACACATAAGAAAAGGGGAAGGAGAAAACGATGAACAGAGAAACTAAAAGAAGGTGCAACAGGACAAGTCACAGCTCTGACGGCTTGCCATCCAGCGCCCCCCTGGTGTCACGCAAATCAGCAGCATTAGAGAACTGGAGACTCGTGGATTCCACCACCATGGGGTTTAAGAGCTGGAACGAACTGTACATGAAATCTAGTCTACTCCCATTCTACAGAAGAGAAAACTAAGGCTAGAGATATTTTTTTTTTAACTGAGTGACCTGGGCCATAGAGTGTGAAGCAGCATAACCAGGACTAGAATCCAGTCCCCCGACTTGGACCCCAAGTCCCTCCCTTACCCCAGGAGCACCATGGTGGAGCATTCAAGGGAGCCGTGACGAGCCAAGGAAATTGAAGGGTGCTGCCGATTCAAAGGGCAACGTAGGCATCAGTGGTGACACAGGACTGTTGGTGAAAAGGGGGGATTTCTGTCCACATCTGCCCAGACCAGGGCCAGCTGCCCTGTGAGACGACGAGCCCACCATTCCCAGGAGGTCTTCAGAAAGAGGCAGACATACTGCAACTGGTCTCCACCAATAAATGTTCCCTGGTTCCCACAGAGAAAGGGGGTCCCTACACACAAGGTCAGGGGAAGGATGAAGCCAGGGTCGGTGCTATGGGGGCTGGATAAGGGAGGCAGGATGGGGCAGTAGGAACAGGCCTCTGCTCCCTGTGACCTTCTCTCTTGCAGGCTTAAGGGCTCCCAGCTCCTTTCTTAAGTGAAGAAAAGCTGTTACGTGAAGTTAGATGCACAAACCAAGACCAGTGGTGTTCTCATACAGGAGAACTCAGCAAGGGTAATTATGGCTGCCACGAAGGTGGGCAAGAGCCTCACTGGTCACAATGAAGCTATCCCTAACCTGCTGGTGATGAAACACAGTAACTGACTATGGCAGGAAGCTATGGGCTCTGCCACTTCCCCCAAGGCTCACATGCTCAGGTCACCAGATGCTCCAGGTTGGGGACTCGGCCAGATGGCCTTCCAGGTCTCAGGTCTGGCATTCCTGGACCTGCCTAGGAATTTTCTCAGCCATACCAGTGACCCCAGGACGCAGGGGGAACCATCTGCCATGCTATAACTCCCAGGCAACACATTTCTCTGTCTGCAGTTTGATGTTTCATACGGTAACGACTGCACATTTTACTAACGATATCCTTGGCCACCAAACCCAATTGGTTAACTGGCTCCTCTCCAAGGTAGAATGAGTGTCTCTCCTGGGCCTCTTTCTCTGTCCAGTTTGACTAATTCATCATGTGTACGGGAAAGTCCCTTCTAAATCATAGCCAAAAACTCTTCTTTTTCCTGGAGCCCAGATAAGGGGACAGAGTTCACTGTTTTGCAAGTTTCAGAGGTGAAAGTCACTGTCATTAAAAAAAAAAAAAAAATTGGCAGAAAGTCTAGAGATGATTCACGCTGAGAATTCTGACTGGTTGATAGCATATTCATTCACAGTCTAATAAATCATTCGCCAGGGAGGGACAGGGCAGGACGGAGAGACTCCAGAGAGGGAAAGCAGAGCGGGATCCCTGGGGGGAATAAGCATTCCTGGCGGCCCTGCCGCTACCTGGCGGCTACAGCTTTTTCCTGAGAGAGGATGTACTTGGGGGTGTGTGACGGAGTTTGGCTGGTGAGTCAAAGACACCTTAACACAGCCCGACCATCTAGTCCCAGGACAGTACGCCCCCTGCCTCTCCTTCCCCCATTTCCAGGGCTTCCAAGACAAGCATCTCAATCAAGTCAGAGGTGGGGGTTGGGGGGAAGAATGAGGAGGGGGAGTTTGCAGCAGGACCTGGAAAATGGAAACTGCCTCTGTTCCCTGTGTACAGGCTGAAATGTTCCATCACTGCCCTCCCCACCCTCCTCCTTCGAAGCACTGACCTTTGCCAAGAAGGCGGCATTCCTGATGGCACCCACCATTTCTCCCCCCTTGGGGTGCACCTTGGCCACGTGCATCCACATGCGCTCCCAGGTGTGGCTGTCGATGGGGAAGCCACTCTTGTTAACGTGAAATAGCACCCCGCCGTCTTTGTCCTCCTCCTCTGAGCCCCCGCTGGTGGGGAGGCTCACGGGCCGCGCGTGGCTGCTCCGGGAGCGGGTGACTTTGGCGCCTTTGGGGTGGGGGCAGCGGTGAGTGTCAGCAGCCGAGCCGGTCATGGCGGGGCCGGGGCGGGGCGGGGGCGGGGGTCGCGGCGGCGGCGGCGGCGGCGGCGGCGGCGGGCGGCGCGGGGATCAGGGCCCCACGGGGGCGGCCTTCTCCATGCCTCTCGCTGCCGCAGGACGCGCAGAAGAGGAGCGGCTGCTGGAGCTCCGCTTATGGGCCGGACCTGAAATCAGTGGAGACACAGCACGCATCACAGGTAAGTGGACAGCCAGAGGCACCGAGGCGGGGACCGCGTCCACGGGCAGTGGGGCCTCGGAGTGTCCCCACGTCACACCCCGCTCCCCCAACGCGCGCACAGATCCCACGGAATTGAGTACGAGTCTCTAGCCCTGCAATTATCTAGAAAGGCGCCTCGAATTTTGCCCCAAACCTTCACACACACCTAAACACCGGGAGGGAAATACAAAGAGCGTGGAGGATGCGGAGTGGGCCGGGCTGGGACAAGAAAGACAGCTCGTGCAGCGTGAAGGCACAGGCGGTCTCCGCGAGGCTACACACATTCCGTGGTGGCCAGATGTGGCCGAGCGCCGCGCCGAGCAGAGAGCGTGCCGGCACGTGAGCGCCCGGGGCTGGCGCGAGGGCGCAGCAGCAGCCTCGGCTTGCAAAGGCGGTCCGGTTTCGTGCAAAAAGCCCTCCCGGACGCGGGTGGGCGAGGGGCGTCCCCAGGACCCAGGCTCCAGCGGAAATAGCTCCACCCGCCCCCTTCCCGGAGTTCCAGCGCCAGGCACCCGCGGGGACCGGCCGCAGGCGGGGCGCGGGAAGGGCGCGTAGCAGCTCCCGGACCCTACCTCGGGCCGGTCGGCCTCATGGCTGCGGAGCCTCTCCGGGCGGCGGGGGTGGCGGGGGCTGCTGCTGTCGCAGCTCCTGCTGGGCCTGGGGCGGCGGGGGCTGCTGCGGCCGTCGCCTCATTCCATGTCCCATTCTCGAATGTTATTCTGTGATATATAACCGAGTCACCCGGGCAGCCGCCGATGTTCCGAATGCGTCCATTGGCCACCGCAACAAAGAGGGGCGGGTCTCCGGCTCGGGACTCTACAACCCGGAGCTCCGGGACGTTGTGATTGGTTCCCGGGGTTCCCGGGCGGGAGGGGAGAGGAGTAGGGGAGCTGGGCGGCCACGCGAAATCCGATCGCCCCCCTGCAGGGAGCCCCGCGGGGCTGGAGCGTTTGCCGGTGGGACTTAAGACCCAGTTTTCTCAGGGGTCGTGGCCTGAAAGGGTTTGCAGCTGTGGGAGGCTGAGAAGCAGAGCCACCCAAGACGTGACCCTGAGGTAGAGGAGACCCTGAAGAAGGCTGGACACAGTCACCTGCCCCTAGCAGGGAGTGATGCATGGCTTAGGCAGAGCCTGTTCACAGGAAGATCCGAAGTTCAATCTTTCTTTAAAATCCCATTCCATTATCAGTTCCCGCAAACTAACAAGGGGGCACAGACATGTACCCTATGACATTAGTCATGATTAAGAACGTCCCTTTAAACAAAAGCTGATATTCAATACTAAAATCTGGGACGTCAGCCAGGCCCTGACCTCTGACACAGCTACAGAGTTAGAGGAGGGGATGGAGAGTTCATTCAAAGCCACGGTGAAGTGGGAGGTCATTCCATACTCAGCAGTGAGACACCTTTCCTTAGAAGCATCTTTTTCCCTTTCTTTTCTTTTAAAGAAAGAGAAGAGCAGGGTGCAGTGAGAAGAGCATCAGACTACTGACCTGGGGACTGACTCTGAGCCCAGATTTGTCACTTGGCTAAGCTGTGTGACCCAGGAGAAGCCATATGCCTGTTCTGTTCTTGAGAAGAGAACAGACCCCTTGCTCTCCAAGGTCTGTCCTGACCCTGTGGCTCTGTGATTCTCTGACTTTCTCTCTTGTGGACACTTAGGGACTTGGCCATTATATCTTTTCTCTTTCAACTCCAAGCCAGCACACCAGCTCTGAGAGGGTGAAGCAGTTCTGGTAGCAATGCCGTTAACCTGGAATCAAGAATGCAGTCGTCAAAGAGCCACTTATGGCAGATCAGTGTCTGGACACTTAACCCTACAAGTTACTTGTGACAGAATTGGAGGGTGTGGCAAGGGGCCAGGGCCAGGAGAGACCCTTGGAGTGCAGCCGAGAGCCAGGACTTGGCTGAGAAGACCTGATTCCAGACCAGTCCTCCACTATTGCAGAGCCCATGTTTAGGGCTTAACTGATTCAATAATGAGAATAATAATTTAGGTCCGTATAGACAAAAGAAATGGGCCAGTTCAGGAAATTATTGAATAATTCAAGTAGAACAGTACACCTGAAAAAATCAGGAAATAGAAAATTATCCTCTTACCATACAATTGCTTCAATTTTCATTTCCCGATTAAAAGAAAACATGCCTCAGTGAATGATCTGTTTTCTCAAACACCCCTCCTCCCTCCTTTCCTCATCTCTCAAATCTGCCCCTTTCTCCTTGCTTGCTGCGAGTTTCAAGTCCTGAGATCAGAATTTCAGGATGGAAACCTAAATGTAGAGGATGAGAATTTGGCTCCACAATCCCTCAGGAGAAAACTGAGCTCTCAAGGCTCAAGTGACCAGACCAGCTGGTGGATATCGAAGAATGCCTGGCAAGTGTCACCTTCCTTGGCATCTGTTCCCAGTGCCCCCACTCCAGCCAAGTCCAAACAACTAGTTACCCTATTAAACCAGGGTCTGGATCCTGCTTTACCCGAATCAAAATCTGAGGTACCCCAGAGGGCTACTCAAGACTGTCTGACAGTCGGGGGGAAAAGCTTTTGTTGTTCATGTCCAGTATACCAACTTTCTGTTCTCTTCTTGCCTGGGAGTGGGGTGCAGTGGGAAGCCAAGGGATATGGCAGATGAAGAGAGCTGTGAGATTTGTCTACTTTTCCAAAGAGGTGGTAAGAAGGCTTCTGAAGTGAATTTCACTGTCCCAGTGAAGGGACTGGGAGGCATGAGGGGCCTTTTGTTCAGAATTCTTTTGCAGTTGAGAGTTGTGCTAGTTGCACGGAGTAGCTAGCTCCATTCTTCATGTCCTTGGTATTTTGTATTACTTAACACTGAACCCAGGCCAGACAGATTATGGGTTTTGAAAGTTCAAGTATTTAATAAGAGTGACACAGCCATATATGCACACAGTAGGACAAAGCCAACCTGTGATTTGAACAGGGACACACGATGACTAAATATTCAGCCTCTGAGAACATGGGCACTTTCATTCATTGGCATAACAACTGGTTTAGCAGAGATGGGTAGTGGAAGGTTTGGAACAGGAAAAATTGGATTTCAACACTATCTGATTAGTCAACTGCCAGCTGCTGGGGTCTCAGAGATAAGTAAGACTAAATTATACCCTGATGGGTCCTATTTTTAGCCCCATCACTTGTTGATGTCACTAGCCTATTAATGGATGTATCAGACACATCTTATGTGCATCCTCATGTTTGCTAGACCTGGCCTTTCTCCTGGCTCCACAGCTACCCCTGCAGCCAACCCTATCTGTGCAGTTCAGCCACCTGGGACTGATGTATCACTTGCCCAGTCAAGTCCCTCTTGGGGGCTGCTGCACAGCCAGGCTGGCCAGCCACATGTCTAGAGTCTGACTCCTCCAATATTTCAGAACTCAAACGAAATGCCACGCTGCAGAATGTGGCTTCTAAGCAGCCATCAGAGGGGCTAGATGATGCATCCCAGGGAATTAATTCATTTGATAAATAAGAGAGATAGGCGATGGGAGGTTTCTCCCTCCTATGGACTGTTTCAAGGCATGATTTTCCAACACAGGCTGTCTGAAGATGTCCTGCACGTCTGAGCCGATGTGCCTACTGAGTCACTAGCCACGGCCCTTCGCAGCTGGTCGTGAAGCAGGTACCCACATGGTAGCACACCACCGTGTACTGCTTTTCATCCTCGCCTACCTTTTTCCCCTTTCCTCTCTCTCTCGCTGCCTTCTCAGTCAGATTTAATCTTTGCTCCAGATTCTGCTTTCTAAGGAAACTGAACTAAGACAATTGGTCCCACAAGTGGAACTAGAAAGCAAATCCTCAGGATAGATTTGGGGTTGTGTTGCTCACCTGTCTGGAGTCAATGGACTCCTTTGCTGGCGATACAAAGGAAGCTAATGACTCTGACATGTGACAGCACCACAGCTTTCATTCAAGCTTAGCGTGAGTTGGTTGGAGAGCAAGACATTGGGAGATCAAGTAGCTGTGGCATTCGATCAGTTTGGAAATGATAATTATAAAGTATCAGAGACCTTGGAGACAGAAAACAGCAGGCTCGGAGAAGTTAACTACCAACTCACAGGGTGCTCTGAAAGCCAGAGCCTCCATGGCAACTTGGAGGGACACTCTTCTTTCCTGCATCCAGATGATAGACTTAAAATCAAGACCAGGACCTGATCACAAGGTGGCAGAACTGCAAAGGATGAAAGCACGTGGGCTTCACAGGCTTCCATGCCAAAGTCAGGGTCCTGATAGGGAAAGAGTGGGTCCCTGAGACGTGGAATAGGAATGTCTCAGTGGATGAGCACCTTGACCCTCCAACTCTCCTGTGATACTACAGTTCAAAAACCCCTTTCTCTGTGGCTTGTTCTCAAGCCCTGGCCTCACCACTGTTGCCTCCATCAATCCCCATATCAAATCATAATACAGCCCCCACAGGGAAGAAAAAGCCCTGTTCCAGGGGGAGAAAGCATACCTGCCAAGGATATTGTAGGACTTGGCTAATGGGTACTAGCACCAAGTGTGGAAATGTATGTGGCAGTGGATCTTGAAGGTATTTTTCTTGGCAGTAGTGGGGAAGCAGAAAGCTCAATGGGGAGAATTCACTGATTTGGGGTTACTCATACAGAACTCAGGATTTAATGTTTTAGCAAGGATGCCTGGAACTTGTCCTAATAGTTTGCTGGGATGGCTCTTTGAAACCAGGTCTCAACAGTGGGTCTAATATAGGCCAAGTGGAGAAGCCAGACTTCCTTGTGTAGTGTTGAGGAAGGTGTCAGCAGACTCAGGGAAGTGGGAATGTTAGAAGGGTTTATTATTTATGGCTCAAGAACCCACCAACTGACGAGTTCCCTGGGCCAGCCCAGAGTACACTCCCTTCAGTAAAGCATCAACGCACTAATAGGGCCTTTTGAGCAGTTGGCAGTGGTTATGCTCGTAGTCCATCGTTGATGGCAGGAGGAAGGGTGCTGTGTAACTGAGCTCCCTACTGTCCGTAAAGCTGACAAAAATCGCAGAACTGCAGAGGCCAGATGGGAGCCCTTCACCGTAAAGGGCAAGGTAGACATGCTCACTCCAAGGGACAGCAAGGTGAGGGAGTGATCAGGGTGACTTTCTCTGCAGGGACTCATGGGGCTGGCTGATCAATCATCATGTTTTTAGGGGAAGGGCATTCATATAATTTATTGTCCAAATTAAGCTACTTTTGAGATTGAAAATGAGTTCTAGTAGCAACTAGATGGGGACAATTAGTACACCAGCACCATCCCAGTCAAACTGATACCTGTGGTCACCCTACCAGGATGATAGATGAGCAGCCAATCAGGCTGTTGCTTGATTTTTATAATCAGAAGGAATAGCTGGTAATCAGAAAGCTGACTTCAGTCACCATAGTCAAAAATTAAAGAAGCTCATCTCATTTTGAATCTAAGCCAGATCTGGCCCAAAGCTAATGCCATTGCTGTGTGAGCCCAAATGGCCAAGTGCAAGACTGCGCAGAGCCCACAGTGTAACAGCATTCTTCAGGAAAGCCAGACAGCCATCTGGAGCCTGGAAAATTTATACTGGACCTTCTACCTTACAGGGGGCAGTGACTGACTTTACCACAACCAGTACAGGTACCATGTCTGGGTTTGCCTTCCTTCCCACAGGCATACAGTCAGTACCGCCAGCTGAGAGCTTCCAGAATTACCTTATCCATTGACATATTACCCAACACAGTATTTCCCCAACACAAGAGACCCGTCTTACGGTGAAAGAGGGGGCAACAATCAGCTCATGACCATGATCTACTGGTCTTACCATGTGTCCCACACCCAGAACAGCTCATCTGCTTGTGTAGTGGAAAAGCCTGTTGAAACTCAGGGAAGGTAAAGCTAGGGGACAACACTTTGTAGCTGTGCCACAATCATCCAGGTTGTAATATGCTTTGAATTAATGGCTGGTACAAGGTACTAATCCTTAACAGCTATAAAGGATGAATCTAGGAACCAAGGAATGGTGGTTGAATGGCATCTCTCATTGTTACACCCAGTGGCCCTGTGCGGAAGCTGGGGTTCCTATGGCCAGGATCCTCACTGAATTTAAACCACCTGATGATGTAACTGGCCTGTTGCTAGGCTACTGCTTCCACACCTTTAGGCAATAAGCTATTATTGCACTATATAGAGAGCTTGGCCCAGTGCTCTGGACAGAGGTAGAGACTCTAGTGCTTGACCTAGTGATTGACCTACCACCAGGAGAACAAACCGGGTAATAAACCCTTTCACTCCAAAGAACGTTTTGCTGTCAATTTCTTTGGTCACATTGAATCCATAGCGAACTTGCCCGGGGCTGAAACCCATTGGCAAGACAGACCCACTTGAGGAATTTATGCTTTTTGTCCCTGAAACTTTGGATTCTGTATGTAAAAAGTTCTGGTTTCCAGGGAGAGAGCTCTTCCAGAGTACACAGTAAGGTTCCACTGACCTGGAAGCTATGACTGCTACCTGGCTGCTTTGGCCACTTCAGGCCAGTAGGCCAAGAAAAGACTAAAAGTATAGTGATTCTAATTACCTTGTGGAGCCTGGATTGCTCCTCCTGGACTGCAGGGAACCCAAGGGATTCGCTGGGATATCTCCTAGGACTCCCATGCCTGGTAAAGCAATGATTTTATAGTAATAGCAACTGTAAGTCCACAAGAGCAGTTCATCTAAGAGCCTGAGACCTTTTCCCAGATATGGAGCTCACCCAGCCAGGCAACCAATCTAGCTAAACCAGCTGAAGTGTTGGATAAGACTGAGGAAAATCTAGAATAGGTGGTAAAGGAAGATAATGAATATCAATTACAGCCTTAGGACCAGCCAGAGTAGCTTGAATCAAGCTAAGTGTAGCTTGACGCATTGGTTCTCTTCCCTTAGATCTTCTAGGAGATGCACCTGGCCACAGCCTTGATGGGAACTTCATAACTGAATGGATTCATAACCCCTCTCTCAGAAATGGGGTGAGGGTGTTTTATTCTTTAAAAGAGTGTTTGCTCCATCTTCTGATGGGAGCCATATACAGTGGAAGGGCATGCCTTGTATCCTGGAAAGGGCAGTGATTGTCTTTACCAGAATCATACATAGCGTACATGGATTTGCTTGAATTGTCCACAGGACTTCAACCAGCCCCACCATATAAGGGTTTACAGAATATGTCATCCATTGACATGTCATCCCATTTAATTTTCCTGATTGGTGAGTGGGTAGGATGTGCCCGACGTGTCTTAGGATGGCTTCT